CTCACTTCACAGCTGAGGCAGTGCTGTAGAGTAAAGCCATGTGCTCCCCTGAAGGTCATATTAGTTTGGGAAGGACAGTGATGAAAATAAAAATAAAAATACACTAAGATACTAGCTTGACTTCTGGTTTTTGCAAAATGGGAATGCTTTAGCTTGTCCTATGGGTGTAGTGATTTTCTGGGTGGTGTCTCACGGGATAACGATTGCCTCTCCCGTGGTTGTTCGTGAAGGTCAGGTGAACGCCCTTGGCTCTCGTGTTCCTCAAGCTGTTCCGACAGTTTTTGACCATGTGGCGCTGGCAAGTTGTCCGGCTGGGGATGGGAAAGAAGTGATGATGAAGGATTACTCTTTCTACAGTAATGGGTATTTTGTCAGCATGTAGATGAATCCCAAGATCCAAGATATTCCAGCAGAGCATTGCTTTGCAAAAAGAGTACTAATTTTTGTTTCATGCTAGGCTGTTCTGTTTGTGTATATATGAAGATTTTCTTTTCCACACTAATAATTGTATCCAGACCCTAGTTTAAACTAGAAACAGAACTACACAGTATATGTAGGTTGCAGAGCACGGAAAAGCACAGTACAGTGATACAGAAACCTGTTCAGAAGATTTTAGTACTTTTAATCACCATTTATCCACGCTCTTCCTCATATTGCTACTTGACACTATGGCTGTTGTTTTTCATCATCCTGTCCATTCTTGTAGATAAAGCCAAACTTATTTCAGTTGTTACTGTCAACTATTATTGTTTATGTGTCTGTAGAAATATGCAAAATATATGCAAACCCTCGTTTTTTTAGGAGCACAATTACAGCTTTGGAGCTTGTGAACACAATAAAAAGTCTCAGATTTAAGTTTGGACTCTCAGACCTGCAGACCTCATTACTCTCTCTTGTCCACTGAATTTGCCGATGCTAATTAATTCTTTTCGGGTATCAATGTGTGTGGCGCCAATAAAAATGTTTTCCTTGGAAAGTCAGCGCAAGAGATGTGACTGATTCAGTCAATGAGCTGCATAATTATTACTTGATCCCACACGCATAAATCCAATCAGCTCCCCTAACCTGGTCATCACCTGACACTGTTAAAAATGTCTCATTCACAGCTCTTGCTGCATATACTATTAACCTTCACTACAGGGTCTCTGTGTATACCGTATCAGAACCACAGCATGTCAAAGGGCTACTTTAGCTGAAACCTGAAGACTAGAGACAGGTTGTTTAATATAATCACCATAACACACACATGCACGTGCACACACATGCAAATGTATATCTAAAGTCATCTACCATATGTGGTTGTGTGCACAGCTACATGATGTGCATACCGAAATAACAGGTACAAGTGTCCCTGGTTACTATGGGAACATCAGCAGCTCGCAACTGATTAGAAATCTCTTTGATGATGAAGTGGCTTTGTGTTTGCGTTCTGTGAGCAGACAAACGCCAAGGTCTGTATGTGTGTTTGTGTGTGTAGATGTGAGTCCAACTGACCAGCATACATGAAGTACAAGTTCTTGCTCAGGAGTCTGCATTAACATTTACAGTAACATTAATACTTATAAGAGATAAGATAAGATAAGATAAGACTTTATTGATCCCACAACGAGGAAATTTTTGCGTCACCTCAGCTCAGGTACAGATATATGAAGGAAATACAAAAATACAAATAAGTACAATCAATGAAAAAAGTAAGATAATACACTATATAACTTATTTCACATAAAGGTGTTTTAATTTTAATATTTAATGATTTTATTGGGGTTCTTTAAAAGACTTGAAAATCTGGTGAACAGCTGTTTAAAATGAGACAGCGACCGTGTACCTGGAAAGTTCAGCACTGGCAGCGAAACCTCATCCAACACACCAGATGGTCTCAGTGTGTATTTATGCCTGTCTGCCATGACTTTGTTATTCCTGGTATAGGTTTGTTTGTGTCCATGCGATATCTATCTATCTATCTATCTGTCTGTCTGTCTGTCTGTGAACTTGAGTGACCTCCAATTCTTTATCCATAATATAATATGAGGTATAATATGTATAAAATACCTATAATATGATGTCAGCCCACTCTTCTGGGAAGGTTTATTAACGTGAACGGTATGATATAGCCCAGCCCTAGTTGTGTGTCTTTAATGTTTGTCTTTTTTTCCTGTACAACATTTCTGTACAAGTGTTGCTTTGTAGGAAAGTAAGGTAGTAAAGCATAAGAGACCTAGAACGATACACTAACAAACAGATTTACTAACAAACAGAACCATGTAAAATCATGCTCATTATCTCAGGGATAATTTGTACCTGTGCACAAAGTAAGTGCACTTTTGTAGTTTTGATTCTTTGCACTTTTTGAAGGGTTTTGAGAGGGTGTTGGGCTTGGATTTAGGGCTGCCATGATTAGTCGACTAGTCACGATTACGTCGACTATCAAAATCGCAGACGACTAATTTTTTTTTTTGCCTGTCCCATTTGGTTCTTTAGCC